CGGTCAAATTTTTATTAATAAAAAAATTTCCATATTGAGCAAAAATCGGGCGTTACTTTTGTTGGCTACTGTACGTATAAGATTACTAAAAAAGCGCCAAATTTAGAATTTTATAATTGCTCCAAATAATATACGTAGCACGAAAATTTACAGGCGTCAAATTTTCAATTTATATATAAAATAGACAAAGTTTAAACTGTGAACATTGTTAAAAATAAAAATAAAAGAAAATCTTCTTTCAAAAATATAGTTTAGGTTATAAACTATTAAAACGCGTGAATTTTGTGATGCTGTTTTGCTTATGAAAAATCGAATTGAGTTTGGTGTTTCTTAAAAAAAAAAATGAATGTTCAAAAAAATTACACCAGCAAATACTACAACCTCGGGTATTCGCATCAGCATGGTATCTGTGTAGAAAAGAACGAAAAGAGAGCGTTCGAGTATTATCAAAGATCTGCCAACGAGTACGATCATGAGCTTTCAATTTTTAGCGTTGGGTATTTTTATCATCATGGTTTAGGTGTTTAAAAGGATCACGAAAAGGCATTCGAATACTACCAAAAATCCTTTGACCGTGGGCTCCCGGAAGGGATGTAGATGTCGGTCATTGTTATTTGTATGGAATTGGGGTTACTAAAAACGAATCAGATGCGCATTTATACGTACTTTCAAATGGCCGCCAAATATGGGATGAAAGGAACATTTGATGTAGGTCGAAGTTATCGACATGATTATGTCGTGACTAAAGTTGGGATCCGACTAAAGTTGGAACTTCAGTTTACTGAAGTTGGAATTAGCCCCTGAAATTAGATCATCCTGCACGCATTAGTCGGATCCCAACTTCAGTCACGACAATTATACGGCAAAAATAATTAACGACAATGATGATATAGCAGATAGAGCAGCATAAAACGTTTACAAATTAGCTATGAATTATTTATTTAATAGGATCATAATAATGCATTTAAGTATTTCCAAAAGGCTGCTGAGATGGGGTTCGCTGATGGAATATTTGCACTTGGTAACTGTTATAAGAATGGAATTGGAGTTGAAAAGAATAAGGTATTAATTTATTATCAAAAATCAGCAGAGATGGGTCAGGCAACTGGAACGAATCAAGTTGGAATTTTTATCAACATGGAATTGTAGTTGAAAAAGATGAACATAAGGCATTTATTTATTATCAAAAATCTGCGGAGATGAGGGATGCTGTTGGAACATATAATGTTGGATATTGCTATCAAAATGGAATTGGAGTTGAAATTGATGAACATATAATGTAGAACATTGCTATAAAAAAGGAATTGGAGTTAAAAAAGATGAACATAAGGCATTCATTTATTATCAAAAATCTGCAGAAATGAGGAATGCTAATAGAACATATAATGTTGGATATTGCTATCGAAATGGAATTGGTGTTGAAATTGATGAACATAAGGCTTTCATTTATTATCAACAATCTGCAGAGATGGGAAATGCTAATGGAACATATAATATAGGACATTGCTATAGAGTAAGGAATTGGTGTCGAAAAAGATGAACAAAAGGCATTCATTTATTATCAAAAATCTGCGGAGATGAGAAACACCGGTGAAACATATAATGTAGAATATTGTTATGATGAAGGGGATTGGAGTTGAAAAAGATGAATATAAATCATTCATTTATTATCAAAAATCCGCCGAAATGAACGATCCTAATGGAGTATGTCAAGTTGTTATGAAGGAATTGGAGTTGAAAAAGATGAATATAATGCATTCGAATATTACCAAAAATCCGCAGAGATGGGAAGTTCCGAAGCAATATCAAAACTTGCTTATTGTTATAGAAACGGTACCGGGACACAAATTGATATTGATAAAGCCAATCATTGGTTTCAAATGAAAAGAGATGAATTTGTTAAAACAGAACATAAAGATCGTGACATACCTGATGATATTAAAACAATATTGAATAAAGATAAATACAAATTAGTTTGGATTCCTTATCACCAATTCGAAGATATTCGAGAAATTGGAAGTGGTGCTTTTGCGATTGTGTATCGTGCAATTTACAAAAGAACTAAAAAACTTAACCGGGTACCTGAATTTACATTACTTGATAAATTAGAAATAAATAAGGATAGATATAATATACTACTTAAACAACACATAAAACAAAGAGGACTGGATTATATTATCGAACTAAGTCTTTCTCGAAACCTTGTTATTATTAGAATTTAATATATCAGTTTGGGTAATCTTAGAGTAGTATTTAATAAGATGTCTATATTCCGACGTTCCTTATACTTTTTCACCGGAAAACTTTATTTATCGCGACCATTCAACGATCGATACCAATGTTTCTTTTACACGTCTTATGAGCATATCCTAAAAAAAATAAAATAAAAATAAAAATAACGTGAGTAACTCGTATTATTATATCACCTTCCTAGTAACCATTGGTCGTGGTTTTCGGAACACGAGGGTCTACACAGGGAGGATTGGTCGTCACAACCCTGCAGCGTAACTTACACCCTCATGTATGCTAAACACTCAATACTCAATGATGAATACTCACATCCGCTAAAGACTCGCAACAAACAGCCAGTGTAAAGGGTAATTCGTCTTCGATCGATTTGTACAAGATCAGTCCCGTAGTTCATAAACTCTAAGTATTAGAATCCTACAGTATTAAATCCTTTTAGCATCAGAAAAACAGTGTAAAAAAATATTGTGTACAGTATAAGCAACAATGAACACTTATCTGTAACTGAAATCTCTATAACAGACCCAATTCGATCTAATTATCGGGCCAAGTCTTTCCATGCCTTAATTAAAACCTTGTTATTATTAAGTTTAAATATACCAGTTTGAATCGTTTTAGTATTTTTAGTAATGCTTCTTCATATTAGTGTTTTGAACCGTTCAACCGAAAGTTCAACCGGGGCTGATCCGGGTAGACTTACGGGTATTCCCAGCCAAT